GAGATAGCATCAAGGAGGAGAAGCCACATATTAAGGAAGATGAATCTAAAATGTGGAACAAGCCTAGGCCCAAAATGATACCATAGAGCTTCCATACCAACCTTCGACTATTAGAGTCTCATGTGAGGGAGAAATAAGTCTCTGTGACTAGTTGTGTAAAGCAAATGCCTAACTGATACAAAGTGTAGAATGAAAATCTCAGAATGTCAAAATTGCCTTAGAAAATCCTTTAAATCCTCCATAAAATACAGTAAAATAGCATGGCATAAGTCCTGAACGTGTTATAGGCATGAGGAGATGTTTAGCTTTTAATTTTTGGAGACAATCAAGAAAACAGACTAAATTAATCTCTATCCTTGCATTGCTTCAAATTAGTATTTGCCCTTTAGAAACCATCTACATTGATTTCAGAGACTGTGATTCAGAAATTAAAAATCACATGTGGTCTTAAAAGAAAAATATTAGGAAGTCCCAGGATATCTAATCCTGATAGTTGGAAGCAACATGTATGTAATGTGTATGTGTGTGTGTGTACATGCACATATATGGAATTGCTATGTATGATTTCACCTTCCCTTTTCACAGGAAATTTTATGACTTTAACTGTATTACCTAATGTCTTTTTATGGCTTTTAATTAACATTTCAATTTTTTTCAAGGCTATTGAATACGCATCATCATGGACATCCTGACTACCAAGCAGGATGACTGGGTTATCTCTAAAATCATCCACACTCAGTGGTCATCCCATCAAGTGCCCCCCTAAGTGCCTGTCACCAAATCGAACTCCAATAAAAAAATACAAAAAATAAAATAAAAATAAAATAATAAAATAAAATAAAATAAAATAAAATAAAATAAAATAAAATCATCCACACTTTCTTCCCATAGGCTTTGGGTGAGCTCAGTTTGATTACACTTGATTACATCTGCAATGTATGTGTTCGTCAACCAGAATTATGGGAAAAAGTATCAGTATGACTAAAATTGTACTTTCTTTTCTCTTTCTCCTCTTTCTCTCGCATTCGGTTCAACACTTTTATGTCTGACACTGAGAGGAATCACTGCTGCCATGCAGTTTTGTCAAGCTGGGAGTTAAGTGAAGTTCGGAGAAGAATGGCAGGTGGAGAGGTTCTGGAACTCAGATTTCCCTAAGGAATGTTATCATGTTGCTAAGCTATGTAGTGTAGCTTAACAACCAGGGAGCCCCGTGGGCTCCTTGGAGCAACAGTGGGAGAAATTAGAGGGAGGTAGTGATATTCTTTTGGAAGCATTAGACATTAGGCTGTCTCTGCCAATTGAAAATTCCCAGCTCAAGTGCAAAGAATTAAGGAAATCAATGACACATCAGTATAGCCCCAATATGAGGCTTGGAGGGTATCAGCAACTTTGAGTTCCTGTCAACCAGATTACCTTCTTTGAAAACTGTCCTCAGGTATAATTTTAAATTCATCAATAAAATAATTTTCAATAAGTTTAGATATGATTTAGTTAATGGACCACGGGTTCATCTTCTTTTCAAGATTATGTGAAGGCCAAATAAATCTGTTTTGAGGTGATGGTGTATTATCTTTTAAAGTAAACTACCTATCTTTGCGGAGATCATACAAATAAAGTAAGCTAATTAGTGGAATAAAGACGTTTATTCTGTCAAAAACATTTAACTTCACGTAACAAATACTGAGCATACACTATGGGACAGGTACTGGGAATACAGAGGTTGAACCAGACCATTGTCTGCTTGATTATGATATCCTATGGAAAGCAGAAAATAAACACAGAAATGTAAAAAAAATGATGGGGAATGACACATGCTATGGAGACAGTGTACGGAGGGTAAGGGATAGAGAGTGATGGAGCCTGGGAGGATGGTTAGGAGCTACTTTCGAGAAGGGTAAGGAAGCCTTTTGGAGAAAGCCACAATTAGGCAGATCCATGAATGACAATCTGAGTGGGATGCATTTTAGGTTAGGGGATCTTCAAATGTAAAATGGTTCAGCATTCATCACCTAAATGGTAATCTTTACATCTCTAGTAATTCATAGTAACTTTCAGCTGTTTGTTGATCAGATACTGTGTTCTCTTGTTTTAAACATTAAGTGTTGTTTTGGACTGAGATTATTAATATTTAATACAGATTTGCATATTTCAAATGTAATAATGACCAGAGTCAGGACTAAATGATTAATAATGCTTCTAAAACACAGATTTTGAGGATTTTGTGTCATGTAGTCTAAATAGAATTTAGTGATTTGCTAATATATAGTTCAATTCATTGGGCTGTAGGAAAGGAAATACTGCTCTCAGAGGCGCTTTCATAATTCTCTGGATGGCAATGGTAATTTTAATTAGATTTTCCCTCAGTTACCACTATACAGGTTTTCCTCTTCTTCATAGTGAAAGTAGAATGCTGGCATCACAAGAAAAATAGAATTATAAATAGAACCTGGCTACTTTCACTTGGCTACTTTCAGCAGATCTTTTGGGCATAACTTCTAAGTCAGGAGGGCTCCACCAAGATTTTGAAATACAGGCAGTGAGGCAAGACCAAACATATTTACTAATAATAGCCAAAATATTCATGTTTGCAAGTTGTTTAGCTTTTAAAAGGAATTAATATAAAGAATGGTAGGTTTTCTAATACTGTCTCTAGGGATTAGTTGCAATGCCATGTGCCTGCATGGCATCTTTGGAAAGATTGGAGTTAAAACCTGTTTATAAAGCTCTTCTGAGCATCAGTTATTGACACACCATAGTTGCAGTGATTGAGAATGTATTTAGAACTTTGCTTCACAAGTGTGGAATGCATTCTTTAAAATCTGAATGTGCACTGGGGACATGTCTTTTCTTGTGAACATCGCCTGTCATGTGCACCATCGTGGGGAAAATAGGTTGAGAACTACTGCTCCATATTATACTGCTCCAGCAAATACCTAGTAAGCTAAAATAGTGAAAACAAGTGTGTGTGTATTTTGTTTTCTTTCGTATCTTTTGTTTGTTTGTGTTTTTTTAAAATATACATATTATTTTACAAAACTGCATCTGGGCTCTAGTAAATAACAGCACATTTGTAGAAGTTATTATAACTGATTTAGTTTACAGAATCCATCTGTGATATACATTGGCCAGTTTTGCATTGATGGGTTTCTCTAATATTGGTTTAAGAAAATCTTTAGTCATTTCATTATAAAGTAAATGAGATTTCTGATTATCTAATAAAGATAATATTTGTTTAAACAAATTCTTTTCTGGCCTCCTGTTAATTCCTTATTTAAATAATATGTTCTTTTCATATTTTTATTGTCTATGGGGAAAAAAACCTTTCATAAGAATGATTCATTTCTTTTGAGTTTATAAGTCTTAAAAAGTTACAATCCAAAATCAATACTTATAATAAAGAGAAATCTTAATAGAAAAATATTATTCTAAGCTAATTCATGAACTGTGGAATGATATCCATTAAAATAAATGAGAAATGAATTATCAGTCAAAGAGTGTTAAAATCAATATAGGCACTAGGTGTAAGAGAAAGATGTGGGCCATTATTAATAGTAACTAAAATAGTTTTACTTTTCTTTAGATTTGAGGTAGTTCCTTCTTTTTCAATTAATAGGCTTTATATTTTAGCATAGTTCTTAAGTTTACAGAGAAATTGAGCAGAAAGCATAGGGAGTTCCTTATATCCTACCTACCCAGTCTCCCATATTATTCACATCTTGCATTAGTGTGGTTACTTGTTATGATTGATACACCAATATCATACATTATTATCAACTGAAGTCCATAGTTTATTTTTTTAAATGTGACTTAAGCCGTGCTTTATTTTTTTTAAAGATTTTATTTATTTATTCATGAGAGACACAGAGAGAGAGAGAGAGAGGCGCAGAGACACAGGCAGAGGGAGAAGCAGGTTCCATGCAAGGAGCCTGATGTGGGACTCGATCCTGGGTCTCCAGTATCACACCCCGGGCTGCAGGTGGCGCTAAACCACTGCGCCACCGGGGCTGCCGAAGTCCATAGTTTACATTAGCATCCACTGTGTGTTGTACAGTTCTGTGAGTATCAACAAATGCATAATGTCATGTATCTGCAATTAGTTTAGAGCAGTATACTATAGGCTAGAGTCACTGCCCTGAAAATCCCCTGTGCTCCACCTATCCATTACTCCCCTATTTCCCCTCTGGAACTCCTGGCAACCACTGATGTTTTTACTATCTTCATAGTTTTGCTTCTTCCAAAATGTCATATAGTTGGAATCATACAGGATGTGGGCTCTTCATATTGGCTACTTAGCAATATACATTTAATGTCCCTCCATGTTTTTTCATTACCAGTGGGAAATGGTGGCAAAACAGTACAGCCACTTTTGAATACAGGTTGGAAGTTTCTTATAAAGCTACACTTTGTATACTTTTATCATATGATCCAGCAATTGCACTCCTAGGTGTTTACCCAAAGGAGTTGAAATCATGTCTGCACAGAAACCTACACATGAGTGTTTATTCATAATTGCTGAAAAATGGAAGCAATCAAGGTGTTCCTGGTTATTCTGTACAACTTTGTCCTGAGTTATTCATTTATCTTATTTCCAAAAGCCTAAGTTTAAATCAGACTTTCAATATGTTTATGTATCATATCATAATATGAAAGGTACATTAATGTAAAGCATATTTGTGGGTATTATATTTTAAAGCTATCATCTTCATTTACTGTATCAAAATTAATAACCATGTTATGTATTTTTTTTTACCATGTTATGCATTTTTATGTTGGTAAGTTAACAAAGTGACCTTAGATATTTTAATGTTTTGAACTTTCTGGAGAAAAATTCTTCTGTTCCACGTATGCCTGTATTTATTTCAATGGTTACAAAAATTTGGTCTGAAAGTAAAATAGCCTTATATTGCTTTGACAGGAGAAACAATTTAGAGCAAACAAAGAAGAAGAAATGTTTGACATATAAGGAAATGTCAAGAATGATTGTTGCTCTGTGATTTCAGGGTCTAAGCACCTCTGGAAGTGAGGTTAACAGGGTAGAACCTGAAGACCTTTTGCAGCAACAGTGGAGAGGGGCAAACCAACACCCCAGGAACATGAGCCTCAAATCCCCAATGTCTGCTGTCCCATTTGAGAGCAAAGGAAGCCATATTATGGCTAGAAATGGAGGCTGTTTTCTAGTCCGGCACACCCCTCATCCCAGGAGAGTCTGCCACATAAAAGGTAAGGTGACTTAAGGTCCTAGAATGTCTCTCTCTCTCTACATTTGGGCTACTTGATAATTCTGGTGAGTAAAGACAGGGACGCTGTTCAAAATATGTAACTAATGGTGAGGCATAGGTATTGACCATTGAGACCTGATACCAGCCTTGGAATTAGAGCAGAGCCTGAAGGCATCCTCTATGCCAGGCATTAACCCTGAGATTTCTTGACTGTTAGAAAACGGGCCTGGAGAGGTGCCAGAGAGCTCACAGCAACTGACCAATTGGTATAAAAATATTTCAATATTTTAATAAATTGCAGGGCCGCTAAATATTAGCCCCGGAGAAGCATGTAATTTACCCTCTAGCCCTTTTTTCCCCTTTCCCCCCTTTCTTTCTCCCCTTCCTTTTTCCTTCTTTCCCTTCCTCCCTCCCTCCATCTCTCCTTTCCTCCATGTTTCCCTCATGTCTTCCCTCCCTTTCATTCTTTCACTTTTTAAAATTTAGTTTCTGTAGCACCATATACTCCTAATTCCCCCCCCTCCTTCTCTGACTTCTTCCCAGACTTTTTTTTTTTTTCCTGAATACTCTGTAGTAAATGTTGGAGTCCCTCACAGTCCAGTCCTTGGCCATTTTCTCTTTAATTTATCCCATGACCTTAGTCCAATTGACTCATTTACATGTTTCAAATACTGTCTACAGGCCAAGTACTTTCAAATGTGTATCTTAGACTCAGACTTCTCTTCTAAGATTGAGACCTCCATAATCAACTGCCTACTTGACCTATATGTGAGGTGCTGGATGCTTCATGGGCACCTTGAATGTTGCTCTTTGAAACTGAACTCTTGATCTTTCTTCATAAGTGTGTTTCTCCAACTAGTCCACCTTAATTAGTAAATGGTAATTATACATTTTGGGCCCTTCTTGAGCTCCTTCCTTTCCTTGCTTTCCTCTTGCAATACTTCCCTTGATCTTGTCACCTTTTCTCCTAAATGTTTTTCAAATTAAGTCACTTCTCTCCATGGCCACCGTTGCAGCTCCATTCTAGGCCATTATTATCTCTTGGTCTGACTACTACGTTTGCAATTTGTAGCCTCCTAACTGCTCTATTTCCACCCCTGCCCTCATCCAATCTACTCTCCACAGAACAAGAAAGATTATATTAAAATGCAAATTAATTGCTTAAATGTCGCACTCAAAACCCTTCAAAACCTTCCCATGCACTTAGGATAACATCTATCTTGACCAGACTAAAATGCTCCCTATGATGTGGCCTCTGCTTCCTATGATTCATCTACTATCATTACCCACCCACCTACCCATCTTCATTATACATATGCCACACTGGACTTGCCTAAGTTCTTTGAACACATAATAAGACCTTTTCCAGCTCTGGATTTTCACTCATACTATTTCCTCTTGCTACAAAACTCCCTCATTATTTGCTGTTTCTCATTTTTCAGGTTTTGGTTAAGTGTAACTTAAAAGAGACACTCTAGGCTCCACATGCTCAATCTAAATTAAATTTCCTTATGGTATATTCTCATAGTACTTTATCAGAGGAATTGTCTTTGTAAATAGACTCTGGATTGGAGTTTTGTGTGAAAGATGATTATTGGAGAATGCTCTTAGGAACAACATGTATAGGAAGCCAGGGAAGCAGGATTGGGCAGAGGTTAAACTGTGATACAGACAAAAGAGGTCTCAATTAGCCCTATAAGGAGCCATGGACAGCTCTGTAGAAGGGTCTCAGCTTGAAGCAAGGGGGTCAGGCCTTTATAATCCCCATCAATCACTCATTGGTCAAGTTTCCATCGTGTATGAGAGCCGTCTTCAGCGGAGAGCTGTTCCCAGAGAGGGACTCAGCATGAGCCGTCAGTAGCTGACATAACTGTCAAGTGGGCAGATGAATGGGTTGGGCCTGAAGGCATGGTTTGGGTAGATGCATCTCCACATCTACTACAGCAATTATTGCAGCTTATGACTAAATATTTTTATTTGATTATTATCAAATATCTTCCACTAATTTGTGAGCTCCTTGAAAACACATGTGAAAAAAAAAGAAAGAAAGAAAACACATGTGTCTGTTTTGCTCACCACTTATTTCTGTTTCCTAGAGTGACTGCCACATGGGAGGTACTAGATAATTCTTGTGAAAGGAAAGAAGGAAGCTTAAATTACATCCAGATAAAATTTAGATCTTCTGATAGATTTTAAAGAGAGTTCATATTCTACTTCAGCTATCTAGTTGTGAGTCCTTGAGTAAGTGATTTCATTTTAAAAAAATTCATTCTAGCTATATTGTAGAAAGTGGAAGAGAAACAGGGACCTAAGTAGAGCTTGGGAGATAAGTTAAAAGGCTGATTCAGTCATCCAAGAGAGAGGGATGGGCCAGGAAGGACAACAGAGCAGAGAAGTGAAGATTAAACTTTGGGGTTTAGAGCAAGAGAAAAGCCCAGATGAGCAGCACAGAGAAAGCCATCAGAGCGTTATGAGATAAAACAAGATTCAGTGAGAATGGCTGGGTGGCTATCAAAGACAAATTTCTAAAGAAGATCAGGAAAAAAAAGGCCAAGAGAAAGCAAATAGATATTACAACAAAGAAGTCATAGATGACTTACAACCTATTGTCTTGGCAAAATCTGATGAGGGGATTTTTCAAAATCCACATGAGAAAAACATTGCATTTAATTAGAACGCTTTTCTCTATGAAGGCAAATACTACCAAAATGAGTGTAATATTTTTTCTGACTTTCAAATACTTGGAAGTACTTGATATATAACTCCTGTATATGTTAATTCACATTCTGCCTTGAATTATCTTATACCTATAATACAATATAAAACTATTGGCAGGCAAGGGACTGTTATGTCTTCAAATCCCCTATAACGCTTACCACAAAGCCTTGCTTATAGTAATGTGTCCACATATAAATATATGTTCAATTAAATAGAAAATTTTCTTTAGAAATCTTTCAAGGTTATCCCTGCTAATTCTAGAAAGCCTAGTAACTGGAATTATAGGAGGAAGAGAAGAGCAGCAAACTGCTTTGAGTTAACAGCTATGTGCTTTGAACCCACACTCAGCACAAGGACACTACAACTAGTTTCCTTAGTTTTACCCCAGAGATAATTCTTACAGTCCATTTTACCAACATCAAATCTTTTAGTCTGTGAGACATAATGTTATTTTCATAGATAAATCCTTAAAAAATTAAGTCATCAGTAAGTTTATTCAGTCTAAGAAATGTCAAAATCTGTTTGTGATACATATGTGCACTTTGCCAGCAATACAACATAAGCCAGTTTCCGCTCACAATGTAGTTGAAGGAGATAGTAATACCAGAAAAAAATTATGATGCACTGTGTTATGTGCAATGATAGAAGTATGCTGAAAGTTCAGATGTAATACAGAGCTAGGGAAGCCACTGGAGGAATGTCAAGAATGCATTTCACAGAGGTTTTGACAGGGAGACACATGATAAACATTAAGAAGGAACAATTAGCAGGACTTGAGGATTTATTGGACTTAATGATGGAATAAGAAGTCTAGAATTGCTACTAATTTTTTTGTTGGTTTGGTTCATTGACTGGGTGGATAGTCGACCAACTATTAGTCTTGAGCATATCAGCGGAAGAGCATTTGTAGGAGGTAAGATTAAAACCTTCATTTCAGACAAACACATCAAACATTGATGTGCCAATGGAACATTCAGGAGTAACTGACCAAGTAGAGAAATGGCTATAAGGACTTGGAGCCTAAGGACTGATTGAGGCTGTAAAGTAGATTTGAAAAGTAAGAGCATATTCATTAAAACAGTAATGTTATTGCCCAAGAAAGCAAAGAAATCCCAACAGAACTCTGAAAAACACAGGGATTAACTCTGACACGGTCTGAAAAGAAAGAGTAGAGATGTTGGGATAGAAAACATCATCTCTGAAAATCGAGAAAGACGATTTTTTAAAAAGAGGGAACAGTGCATATATAGAAGATGAAAATTTTTCATTTAATTCTTTTTTTAAAGGATTTTATCTATTCATGAGAGACGAGAGAGAGAGAGAGAGGGAGAGAGAGAGAGAGAGGCAGAGACACAAGCAGGCTCCATGCAGGGAGCCTGTCATGGGACTTGATCCCCGGTCTCCAGGATCATGCCCTGGGATGAAGGCGGTGCTAAACCGCTGAGCCCCCCAGGCTGCCCACCATTTAATTCACAAACTAGTGATCTCTACAACCTCTTCTATTACATAGAATAGGGAAAGTTTAAATTTATAGACATAAAATCTTACATTTGCTTGGCAGAAGTTTTTAGGCTGTATTCTGAGGGGTCCTAGAGATCTGGGCAAGAGGCAAAGATAGAGTAAAATGTGTTTGAACAAAGGGCACAGTAGCCAAAGAAAGTTGAATATCACTACTGCATGGCAAAAAGATTATATTTTGTCATGGGATTAACTAAGGCTTTTCAGAACTTTAGCTAAAGCCAAATTTTGAGATCTACACATAACTTGCTAAGAGGAAACTTAAAAACTAGTCTTACGATGTTAGCCTATCTCTAGGCTCTTTTGCTTTAGAGAGGAGTAAAAAAGTTCATAGAAAGGAAACAGAGTGAAGATTTCTTTGAAGAGTCATTGGGGTGCTGTGTCCTTCCCTCTCCTCCATGAGGGGCAATACAGCCTTCACCTGTACCTGCAGAGCTTTGCTGGGAATCCTTTGTGGAGAATGTCTAGAGAGGAGACAGATCTCACTAAATAGCTAGCTCCGTGCCTGTGCTATTCGTGGTCTGCCCCACACTCTTTCTGCAGTGGATTATGGGGAGACTATTCCTGGAGTGAACTTGTTCTATATTTTCTATGTTTATGGAGGACACAGAGAATGGTGTCTGATTGTCTTCTAAAATCTCAAGACAGGGGATGCCTGGGTGGCTCAGGGTGTGATCCCGCAGTCCTGGGATTGAGTCCCATATTGGGCTCCCTGCATGGAGCCTGCTTCTCCCTCTGCCTGTGTCTCTGCCTCTCATGAATAAATAAATAAAATCTTTTAAAAATGAAATGAAATAAAATCTCAGGACAAGAGCTGACTAGAGCTGGCTAAAGCTTGCTGGGTCAGCAGCATAGACCGGGATTGAGCTGCTCTCACACGGATGACCAGGCAAAGGATCTTGTTTCCTGGGGGTTAGAGTGGAAACTCAAGAGCAAGCAGGTTGAGAACTGTCTTGCAAGGACCCAGCCCAAGAGGACTAACTGCTATAATAGGACAACTCCAGGCAAAAGGCTGGTGACATTTTGCCTGGGGTGAAGGTGGGATGGAAGAGATGTTAGTAATTATCTGGTAGGTACCTTTTCCACGACAGTGAACAGTGTCAGAGTTTTCCTCAGCCAGGAGTCTCCAAAGGACCCACAAAAATACTTCATGAGAGAAAGAGCCAGCATTTCTTCTCTGCCTAACAGATCTGCTTTCACAGATCCCTCAATGGTTAATTAAAACCATTAATGCAAGTAAGATTGTATGTATCCCTTTCAGCATTTCTTCATCCTCCACCCCAAATCCAGAGGAGCTGAAAGCAGTGAAAGGGAAAGGAAAAGTGGAAGAGCAAGGTAGTGGAAAAACAGACTACACCCCCACTCCCCTTTGGTCTGTAGAGGCTGGATCATCCTTGGCCTATAGAGGAGAGTGTGAAATGGAATACTTTTAATACTTTTATAGCACTAGCTATCCTGACAGTAAATATCTGGTATTCTTGATGGAAAGTTTTGTGCACAATCAAAATTATTGCAGTTACTTGTTATTTTTAAAGTCAATTTTAAAATAACCATTCCAAACCTTTTTGTTTTAACATTTAAAATTCAACTTATACATTTTATTATTTTACTTGTAAATTAGAAAATTTTAACAATTACTTCAAGGAGGTCTTTGATTAATATTTAGTCCCATTTACACACTTATTAAAAAATACCTTTAAAAGTTTAAATGTAAATTACTCATTAAATAGACTTGGTTCTTTTAAAAATATTTCACATCCTTATCACGTGAATTCTCATCAAGGTACAAATAACTCCTGTAAATTAAATAAATTAAACTTATAAATATAGAAAAATACATTATTTAAAACATTTCTTTACTGTTTACCAACTTAATTATATTCTTATATTTTCCTGCTTAAATATTATATACACATATGCAATGAATATATACACATTCAATGAATGAATAAGAATAGTGTGCATTTTTCTTCTTTTCTTTTCTTTTTATTTTTTTAAAGATTTTATTTATTTATTCATGAGAGAGACACAGAGAGAAAGAGAGGCAGAGACACAGGCAGAGGGAGAAGCAGGTTCCACACGGGGAGCCCAATGTGGGACTTGATCCCAGGACTCCAGGATCACACCCTGGGCCAAAGGCAGGCGCTAAACCACTGAGCCATCCAGGCGTCCCTTTTTCTTATTTTGTCATGTCTTTTATTTGGAACCTTCCCGATGTTAAAGCACACCATCAACAAAGCAATCATCTCGGGAAAAAAGTTGTTACTTCCTCATTAAACTGGGTTTGTATATCAATCAGAATATTAGGCAGGAATGTGAGATTTGAACCTTCACCTGGCACTCTCTGAAAGGTGAGTCCTTCCAAATCATAACCTCAACAGATGGTCATGCCCCATAAGAGGAGCCAGTCCTTCCTGAGCCCAAGACACCATTACCTAATTTTCCTGTATATTCAAGGAAGTTGATGAAATTCCTACTGATATTGTCCTCAATCTCCTTCACTGCTGGGCTGGTTTTTACATTTCCCTGACTAGCTTTAAATCATTTGATATTGTCCCATTTGACTCTGAAGCTACTTTAATGCCATTGCACTTTATACATTTCTTATGGAATTCTAGATTCTAAATTCTTTCATATTACTTATTACCATTTTTAATTAAAGAAGGTAGAGAAAATAGGAATTTCTCTATTGATTTGTTTCTATGTTAATATTTTATTTCATTTGGTAGGCAATTTTTCACTATGCACCTGGGTCATTCACTATCTCAAGTGTTTAAGATAAAATGGTAAGATGTGATGCCACCTTCAAAAATTTTATTCTCATTCTATTGGGAATCAGTAAAGTTCTAAGTATCAGACTAAATAAAAGCTTTATATTTGGCTGTGTCATTCATTCATTTGATAAATAATCGTAGAGCATCTACTTTGTGTCTAGGCACTATTCTAGACACTGGCGATAGACTGGCAAACAAAACAGATGAAATACATGCTTTCATGAAGCTTACATTCTAGGGCAGCTCAGCCCAGCCATGTGCAAACAGATATAATAGGTGACAAATGCTACTGGAAGAATAAAAAAACCATAAAGGGACAGAGTATGATGGGATACATTTCAGACAGGGTTTTAAGCAAAGACCTTTTTGGTATAATTTGAGCAGATAGATAAGAAGGGGTAGACTGATGGGCCTAGAAGGAAATTTAGAAGAATGGGCAAGCATGAAAAATGCTATTCGAAAAAAAAAAAAAAAAGAAAAATGCTATTCGGAAGCTTCCTATGCAATTTCTTGGAAACAAAGCAACCACTTATTCCTTTCTCTCATAATTTATTGTTTAACATTGAGCAAAGCCCCTTACACCTTCATTTCCTAAGCTGTCCAATATGTCATGACATGGCATTGACACCAGAAAGAGGATCTGCCTATAATTCAATATATGAGCCAAAAGCAAATAACCGTTACAGGAGAGTGAAGAACCTAGAAGGCTTGGACATGAGGAAGGTGGTTCCTTTGTGCCGAATTTTCCTTCCTTTCCTCCCTCACATTCTACTTCATCCTGCCTCCCATTCCTAGCTCCTGTGGCTGTTTATACCTTCTGCCAGGACAAAAAGAGAGCCAGCGTATGTCTTTTCAGAAGGCTTGTTGTACTGAGACACTTTGGATGTTTTCAAACACCTGAATGTGATATTCGTGGGGAGGGCTGACACAATTCCTTGACCATCAAGACTTGGGAAATGAGAAGTCCATCTGGGATAGAGACAGATCTGTTGCACTTGACTCTCACAACAAGATCAAAGATGTGAGCCTGGTTCTCAAGGCTAACCAGATGGCAGAACATTTTAAGGGAACATGTATTGCAAAAATAACTTGCTACACTGACCTTCAAAGAATATCCACCCAGCACTGGTCCATACAATTTGTAGTCTGACATCTTAGGGACACTTAATGATATCTGGTTGGGAACTGGCTGATCAAAGAAAATCTGCCAAAAACCTAATGTGGTTGTTCTGTTATCCTTACCTAGGTTTGAATAACATTCCCATCTGTACTGTGAATGATGATGAGAATGCACTGGGAACATTGTGGGGTGTTGGCCAGTTCAACCACTTAGAGAAGGATGAGACACCATTTGCCAAATGCAGTTACCCACCCAGCACTGCAGCCCTGGAGAGCCCTGCCAGAGGAGTCTCACCAGCCCCAAACAATGTCAAGGTGCCCCCACGGCCTCATTCTGGTGAGTCCCTTGCAACTAATGACATCTTTCCTGAGGCTTCCTGCAAACTATCAGGGGTGACAGGGGGAGAGGAGGATAGTCTCTATGATTGTTAATACAGCTGCAGTGATTTTATTTAAAAATAAGGAAATGTTCTCACTATGAAACAGGTTATTCATGATAAAAATTTTTCACTCATTTAATCTCATTTCAGTAGTTCAATAATGTTACTGAACATTATTATTGTCTTTATTATGTCCAAGACATATTTGGTGTGGTTCTAGTCTCTAATCCTGACAAAAGTATCTGAGAGGTACTAAAAATGAATGTTTAGTCAACACTGAGAGGGAAACTACTGCGACAAAATGTGAGTCAGGGAAATGCAGTAGGGATGGACTTGTATGCTTTCACCTTCTCCCACTGGCCGGCCAGGTCCTGAAGGTCGTGGCCCAGTGTTACTGCCTTCTGTGTCTCTGGTATTCTTGGTGTCTCCCCAGGTCCCAGCACAGTGTTTGGTCTTTAGTTAAATATTAATTAATTTTTATTGAATTGACTCAAAAAAGGATTATTCAGCAGCAAAGCATGATGACTATAGTTAACAGTATTGTATATATGGAAGTTACTAAAGTAGATTTAAAATTTTTCATCACAAGAAAAAAATTGGTGATTTTGTTGAGGGGCTGGTTAACTACACTTAACTGTGATAACCATTTTGTAATATATGCATATATCAAATCATTATGTTGTACATCTTACACTAATATATCTTAAAAAGTGTAGTATGGCCACATCTAAAGGGCTTGGTAAAATAGAAGGAATTCTGGATGGCGGAAACTGTTTCCTGTTCTCTTTCTCTTGTCCCATCACTGAAAGTTTCAGGAAACATGAAAATTGTTTTGGTACAGTGTGGTAAGATATATTCTCTTTCAAAAGATAACAAGAGGGATCATTAGTAGAGAGAACTCACTATGTGATTGCATTCTAAGGTCCTCACGCTTGTTAACTCATTTCATCCATTCAAGACTTCTTCCTCCTTACCCAGTAGCAATAAAGAATCAAAGCCCACATTTTCCACCTTCTTTCTGGTGTTCCTTCTTACACCATAAACCCCAGAAACTTAATGATTATATTTGCAAGAACCACCTGATGGGAGTTAGGTGCTGCCATCTGGTAAGGTTTATATGTCAGAAGGGGGGCTAAGGTCATCTTTTTGGTTGCTGTCTGATCTCAAGCGTGACTGAAGACATGGGGTTTTCCTGCTACAATATCCCAGTGTTCTGCAGTTTTATGGGAGTCAGATGGCAAATTCAGCAGATATGCTGGCTTTCAGATTGCAGCAGTAACCCAGTGCCTCATGTTTAGCCTCACAGATGGTTATGACAGCAACTGAGGTGTCATCAGAGGCATCCTGCCTCTCCTTTCCCCTGATTGTGATAAAGTCTGTGCTCCCCTGGATAGGTGGGGTGCAAGGTGCTGTTCTTGAAGTGATTTGTGAGGGTCAGCACCAGAGCTCACTGCTCCGGCCCTTGGAGTGATACTGCAAACACCCACTTCCCTGTCTAATTTACAGTTTTGCTTAAAATCGAGTGGCTTCTGTTTCCCACAACTGAACACTAGCTTAACAGACTCACCATCCATAATTTTGTTTTCCCTATTTCCTTCCTTCTCTCTTCTGGAGAGAGATAACTTTACAATATTTTTCTTTTTTCAGCTAGAACTAATGAATTCAGTTACTATTGGGAAATGCACAAACTCTTTTTATCTTTTAAGAAATTGTGTTAATTGTGGCTTCAGTAAAAAAAAAAGATTGCACTGCTTATAGAGAATATATCTTTAAATTAATGCAAAGGGGAATTAAGCAAATATTTAAATTGCTTTAGGGTTATTTTGTTAGATGAGTTTATGAAATATGTAGAGTTGAGAGACTGATGAAATAAGAAATAAAATAAAAAATGTAATTATAACTCAACATGCATCTCTTTCTGGCCACAGGGAAAACAGCACACATATAATCTCTTTAATTAGGGAAAGTGACAGTTATATGGACAGGAAACAGAGAAAAATATCTCTTATACTGAAAAATGTACTTTAAAACATTAGTTTATTCAGATCAAGAAAGCTCTTCCAAAAAAAAAAAAAAAAAGAAAAGAAGAAGAAGAAGAAAGCTCTTCCAGTCTTTCTTTATATCATCTTCCTGGGCATTGAATTCATTTTATAAATGTAAATATATTTTTATTTTGTTATTGTAGTATAAATCTACCTGCAAAATTTCCAATATTTGTAAACAGATCCCTGAGTTGACTTTATTTGAAATACAGATATACTTTCATTTATTTTAGCAACTGACATATGTGTCATGTGGTAGAAATTTTTTCAGTTTGATCTAAATATATTTTTCTGCAATATCATTTCAGAGCCCTGTAGAAAAATCAAGGAGTGCTTCAAAACTTCCAGTGAGAATCCCTTAGCAATTAAAAAGGTAAAGAAACAACTATTTACAGTTACCTATTTAGTTCAACTTCTGGTGTTTCTTCTCCTTTTCTTCACATACCTTTCTGAAAAGGCACACTTCACAATATTTTTTTACAGCTTTTAAATGAAATTTTAAATTTATATTCAATTTAGATAGTTAATATATAAAATATTAATTCCAGGGGTAGGTTTCAGTGATTCATCAGTTGCATGTCACACCCAGTGCTCATTATATCAAGTGCCCTCTTTTATGCCCATCACCCAGTTGCCTGATCCCCCACCCACTTTCCCTCCAACAACCCTCAGCTTGTTTCCTAGAGCCAAGAGTCTCTTATGGTTTGCCTCCCTCTCTTTCACCTTATTTTATTTTTCCTTCCCTTCCCCTATGTTCAACTGTTTTGTTTCTTAAATTCCACATATGAGTGAAATCATATGATATTTTTCTTTCTCTGACTTATTTTGCTTAGCTTATTACCCTCTACTTCCAGTCATATTATTGCAAATGGCAAGATTTCATTCTTTTTGATAGCTGAGTACTATTCTGTGTATATTTGTGTGCCCATACTACATCTTTATCCATTCATTTGTCAATGGACATCTGAGCTCTTTCCATATTTTGACTATTGTGAACATTACAGTTTAATTCAGGTAAAATTAACATGATATAGAAGGCACATATTGAGATTATGCAGTTTGATGAATTTTGACAAATATGTAATCTAGATAAAAATTATTTTGTCACGTGTACATTTTGCAAATATTTTCTTCCAGTCTGGGGCTTACCTTTTGTTTTTATAACAATGACTTTTGAAGAACCAAAATTTATAACTTTCATGAAGCCCCAATTTAAAATTTTTCTATCATAGTTTCAAATCCACACATCTACTGTGCCTTATTATAAAGGCTAACCCTCAAGTACAATGGTTAATAGAAGTAATGAAAGCAGACATTCCTGCTTAGGTGCTCTCATCACTTCTATTATATGATTATATGGTCTATAGAGATGCTCTGCTTCTCATTCCTGACAATGGGAATTTGTATCTTCTTTTTCCCCCCCTGATGAATCTAGCTAGAGGTTTGTTAATTTTATTGATCTTCTTAAAGAATAAGCTTTTCATTTCATTGGTGATATCTATTTTTCTGATTTTCTTTTTCTACTTTATTGATTTTGGCTCATATTTTTATATAAGATGAAAGTTTAAGTCATTGATTTGAGACATTTTTCCTTTCTAATATGAGCATATATTATTATAATATTTTTATAAACACTACTTTGGCTGCATGCCCCAAATTTTATAATGATGAGTTTTCATTTTCATTCTGTTCAAAATACTTCCTAATTTACTCTTTAATTTCTTCTCCATGGGATACTTAAAATTATGTAATTTAATTCTCAAATATTTGGAGACTTTAAAGATAACTTTATGAGGTTGATTTCCAATTTAATTCCATTGTGGTCAGAGAAGATACTTTGTATACTTTGAAACTTTGTAAATTTATTGAAACTTGTTATATGGCCCAGAATATGGTCAACCTTGATAAATCTTTGTGCTCACAAAAAGAATGCTCACTCTGCTATTGTTGGGTAGAATATAATATAAATACCATTTAAGTTGGTTGCTACTGTCATTCAGGTCTTTTGTAGCCTTATTGATTTTGCTCTCTACTTATTCTATCCATTATTAGGTATTAAAATCCCTGACTATTGTTGTAGTTTTCTATATTTCTCTTTTAATTTATATCAGTTTTTCAAGGACTCCAGTAGCACAGTTGGTTAGTACATGGTACTTTTGTCAATTTTTAGTCATATATTTTGAAGCTCTCTTATTAGGAGTATAACTATTTAGGTTTGTTATGTCCTTTTGATGAAATTACTCTTTTATCATTATAACATTATTCTCTTCAATCCTGATAGCATTCTTTGATTTGAAATCTGTTTCATTATAGAACTCTTCAGGTTTTCTAATTCTTCTTGAAATTATTTTCAGTATGAAATTATTCATTTCATCTAAACATTCAAATGTATTGATAATGTTATATATAAAAACATCATATTATTTTTAAATATATTCAGTATCTGTAAGATGCACCTTTTTACCCATCAGTTTTGTTAATTTATGTCTTTGTCTTTCTTGATCAGTTTCCACAGAAGGTTATCGATTAGTATATCAAAAAACTAAATTTTGGGTTTTTTTGTGGGGTTTTTTTATTCTCTATGTTGTCTTTTCCCTCTTTTCATGCACAGACTTTACTACTCTTTACTTGACTCCTTTTATATTTCTAATATGTATATTTAGCTATAAATTTCTCTTTGAGGGTTGCCTTAGGTGCTTTCATAAACTTTTATTATCAGCATTAAGTTAAATTTTTTTCTAATTTGCACTATAATTTCTTTTTGCCTATGACTTAGTTGCTGGACATTGTGTATGAAAAGTTATTTGTAGAAATCTGAAACTCATGATAAAAGTACTTTTTTCCAAAGAGAACTTTGTGCTTGCTTCTGTAGGAACCCAGAGACCCTACTTAAACCAAGTTCAAACCTTGATCTCAAGGTACATTTCTTCAAGGATCATTGCACTTCTAGGTCACCTTCGTATTCAGAGAGTAGCCCTTTGTTGGCCCTTATTTGGGTCCTGTGCTTTGAGTCCTATCTTTCAGGACCTTTTAAACTGCCGCAAGAAAAGTGGCACTCCAGTGGCACAGAATCTTACAATGACTTTAGGCAAAAATGGCTACTGTATTCCCTACAAGTGAGGCTTCTCACTTCTCTTTTACTTTGCCCTATTTATTCCTACTTTAGTCACTCCTTGACAGTTTTAATTTTTTTTTTATTTTAATCTGCCTTTTTAGTTGTGTCCAGTGGAAAGGTTGAACCAAAAAATATATATTGCTATTCCCTAAAACAAGACGTCTCATTATATAATAAACTTTAACAGAATAATGCATCTATATATAATATAGCTTTCTTTTCACTAAATGTCAGTAGTTCCATATTGTTCCAATAACTCCAATCATCACAGTCCCCATTTGTTGACAAATTCAGTTGACATATTCAGGCTTCCGTGTGTCTTAAATATCACTCACTTCTGAAGGTTAAAAGACTTTCTTGAAATAAGCACATAGATCTAAGGCTTCTATAACTCTTCTTGAACTGAAAGCTCTTATAACCTTTTTAAATTTTAAATTACAAAGAGTATATTCACCTCTTGGAACAAGAAAATAGCCTTTCTCTTTCCTCTTCTAGTTAATCAAGGCAAGTAATTTAGTGACCTTTCTAATTCCCCAGCTCTTAGCTGCCATTCAGCAGAGCAAGGAAGCAGCATTTCACACCATGTAGTGTCTTCACAGACATTGCATAAAATAACTTTTGACTGTCTTCTTCCTGTCATAAATCTTCCTAACTTAACAGAAAATCTCATGTGTTATAAGTTGGTTGTTATCTGGAGCAGCAAGATAAGTAAAGGTTACACAATAAATATTAAAAGATTATTATCTTGGTGTTTAACCAAGGGTTTAAAATGGCTTTACAAAAAAGTAAATAATACCTCACTATGTGTTCTGTCTCCAAACACAAATATTTGATAATTAGATTTTAAGGGAACTTTAAAACTAACCTATCTTCACTTTTATGTGTATCTCTTATTTAGCCACAATATTTCTCTTCATCTTCTATTCAATTTTCAAAGAAGTTATAAGTGGATGCAAATGCATATTGATTATATTATACCTTTGATTTAGGAAGAAATTAAGATAAGAAAGCCACCATCACCTCCCAAAGCATGCTCTACTGCTGGCTCTTGTTCTTCAGAGGTGACAAGTACCAAGACTGACATCAAAGACAACACTGTTTGCATACCAAACTATCTGGATCAGGAAATCAAAGTAAGAGGCAGGTTTACTAAATCCATAATTTGGGAACAACTGAACGTACAAAAATCACATTACTAACATCATTAAAACTCTTTATTGGTGCCGCTTTAACAAGTGAATTGATTTAAAACCATTTACCCTGAAATCCAAGGCCTACTTCTACTATTTCCAATCTTCTCCTTGGAACCCTGTCCCTGCTGTGGAAACACAACCTTTGGTTTAGACATAGTGAAGAACGTGGCATTTGCCGAACAAACTCAGCTCTTTTTCCCCCATGTTTTTCTTTATCATCTTCCTAATGCTTGCTGCTACCTATGCATTTCCTTCACATATATTAAGGCAGAGATTCATCTTTCCCTCTTATCTGTGGAATACCATTTCTTCAAACCGACTCTGTCTGGGATTATAAACTTAGTTATATTTATAGTAATATGTCATATCAGGCTACTGGAAGGTCCTCTCCAGCCACAGTTATATCTGAGAATGACATATAATGAAGAATAAATCAATCAGCCAATGTTTGTTATCTCCCTTTGTTTTCCTTCTTTAGATCCTTTTGGTAACCTCCACATTGCCTCACTGTAAGACCCACTGCAATGAATTAAGGATGAAAATATTGTAATGATGACTTTGATAGCAGTTTTAAATTATCTGTAGTAGCAATTACAAGCAGCAGAGCATATTATAAGGATTGTTACTGAATAGTCCTGATAAGGAACTATTTTAAAAGTAAATAGGGGCAACTGGGTAGCTCAGTGGTTGAGCATCTGCCTTCAGCTCAGGGTGTGATCCAGGGTCCTGGGATCAAGTCCTGCATCAGGTTCTCCACAGGGAGCCTGCTTATCCTTCTGCCTATGTCTCTGCCTCTCTCTCTCTGTCTCTTATGAATAGATAAAACCTTTTAAAAAAAAAAGGTAAATCATTACAGTGGCAGTGGGTATAATTATGCTGATAATTAAAATTGGGAAGGAAAATGAAAGGAGAAGAAAGGACAATATCTGCAGACAAGAGTTGTGGTTATACATGATTTCCTTACGATTCTGGCAAAAGACTACCTATAGTACAAGAGTCTTCAGAATCACTGTCCATCTTACCTAATATACTCCGGCACCACCAGTTCTCTATAATTTGCTCATTACCCACCTTTAGAAACTTTCCAACTAAGAAATCTCTTTGATTCTCTCAGTGGTCACCTTCTTCCCATTAAGGTCTCAATTTAAATGTCACTCAGATATACTTTCCCTGAGCACCCAATCTAAAGTATACAGCTTCACATCCCTATCTCATATGTTCATGTTTATTTGTTTCAATAGTCTCTGCCTCTTTCACCCCACTCACACTAAAATTTAAGTCTTATAGGATCTCACACTCTTCTGTCTTGGTTACTGCTTTCCCTCCCATGCCTAGACAAATGCTAGGCATCTAGTAATTATTAAATAAGTATTTACTGAATGTTGAATACAAAAATTAAAAAGTTTTACCAAGATTAAAGTGGAACTGTAGAAAATCAGCTAACTATATAGGCCCTTAACTCAACCAAACCATAAAAGTGCAGTTTTAGTAAGGCTGTCTTACTTCCTTAAGCACATCAATAATAGACAAGCAACATAATCCTATAGAACTGGACCTTTGGGCATCTATTGAATAGCCCTCCTCTCAAAAGCATCTTCTACCTCAGAGATAATTGACTTAACTGGACATTAATACAGAATTCACAAAAAAGTAAACTCTTTTGTTTTTTTTTTTAAGATTTTATTTATTTATTCATGAGAGACACAGAGAAGAGAGAGACAGAGACAGAGAGAGAGAGAGAAAGAGAGAAGCAGAGACACAGGCAGAGGTAGAAGCAGGCTCCATGCAGAGAGCCCAATGCAGGACTTGATCCTGGGACTCCAGGATCACGCCCTGGGCCAAAGGCAGATGCTAAACTGCTGAACCACCCAGCGATCCCCCCAAAATATAAACTCTTTGAAGAAAAAGATCCTATTTATCTTGTTTACAACTCATTAGTCAGCACTCATCACTTCGCTTGAAAACTATTAACTGACACACATAGCATGGCATTTTATCAAATAGTTGGTGGCTATTTGTGAAATAAATGAAAACAAAGGGGGTAAAGTGAGAAAATAGGTCATACCAAAAATTTCTGGCTTATATAAATGAGTCCTAAAAATAGATCTCATTTTAGTGGTATTCCAACCTTCCATGCCTTCTACAAAAAAAAAAATCTGAAATACCTTTCAGTTTCCTGCTATCCAGGCGGGTAACCCTGAATGGCTATGAAGTAAAAAAATATTTGTGCAGGGGTGTGTATAAAAGAGTATACAGCTTCACAAGTATTACTTTAGAGGAAAAGAAAAACAGAATTCTGTGTCTCTTAGTATCTTGTCTTTAGACTTCCTCCTCCAAATCTTGAATTTATAGAAATAATAGTCTCTTTACTCTTGACATGAGAAGTCTGCCAAACACTTTATTTTGTAAATATCTAATACCAATGACAACATTCTAGAGTTTGGGAATACAGTTCATTACTTCATTCACATAGTTTATGAGAGGGATTGTACAGGCATCGCAAGAACATGTAAGAGGAGATTTTGGAGCTGAGAGTCTTCAAGGGCAAAGAAGGTTTAAGATAAAATTAAAAGGTGAAGAGAAGCATGGAAGAGATCATTCCCAGACAAGAGACCTTCATATGTAAAGGCTAAGAGGTGAGAGCACTGTTTATTCAAGGAACTAAAAACAATACGACTGATGGAGAGAGTGCAGGGAGAAGGCTGCAAGGGATGAGGCTGGAGACTTACACAGAAACCAGAAATAAAGGACTTTATAAGCCATACTGAAGTGTTCAGGTTCATCTGAAGTGCTGTGGGAAGCTACTAAAGAATTTTAAACACCAAGTTATAGTGAAATTATTTTGTAAGTATAAGAATTATATAGATTTGTACTTTGGAAAAATCACTCTAGATACAATATGCAGAATTAATTTGGAAGGTGGAGGCAAAATTGCAGGGAAGGTACTCTGCTTCCACATGTTAGATTAGGTCCAAGACTTAGCTTCCTGCCATAAGCAGCTATGTAACTGGGGAAAACACATGAAAAGACTGTTTTAAGGCATTAGGCAACAGACAATATAGATTTATGACAGTTGAGAGAAGGCAAACAAATTGGGATGATTTCCACATTCAACCTAGACTTCAGCCTGGGGCACAGTACTAATCATGGGTCAGAGAAGTGGAGCCCAAATAGAGATGCACAGCTTCACTCGGTAGAAAAAACGGAGTCTAGAGTTGGGGATTCTGAAGTGGATGGGATTTACAAATAAGATACTGGAAGAGAGGAATCTGCAGAGAGAATGAGGTCCAGCCATCTGGAGAGGGTTCTGTGAATCTTTAGTTCAACATCAGTTGCACACGCACAGGATGAGATTCTGACACCTGGCAGAAGAGAACTAATGGGAGGTAGCACATTACTTAGAGATGCTGGTGTTCTGATGTGCCAGACTGGAGAGGCCTTGCTGAATTCACCAGGAATTCTACTGAAACCCTAGAGAGAGAATAGGGTGCTCTACCTACCATAGGGGCTACACTAGATCCATAATCTCAAATCCTAAAATCAAGTTTTAATAGATCAAATTCACTTGCCAATATACTAAGTACCTTCCAGAAAAAAACTCAATGAAAAGAGAGTAGAAGAGTTCCTTAAAGGGCATATTGTACTTCCTCTCACTAAAGGAATAATTATATTCTCTTAGAGTTGACCACTGAGTGATCTGTAAATTAGAAGAAGCTAGGAGCAAAGTATAATCACCATATTGATGAGAAAACCACTAGAGTCAGAGGGGGCCTAGGGAATACCATAAGACTCTTTTTCTATCTTTGCTATGGCTATTGATTTATTGTGAAATTAGGAGAAAATTCAATTTACTGTCTTCTAGGATATGGCATTATTGAGGACAGAAATCTCAATAATATAACAAAGCTCAATATAAGGCAGTAGATTTTTCTGTCCTTTAATTTCAATTCTGTATCTCTAGCTTCTAGATCAACAACAAACACAAATATTTATTGAACTAATAATATTTTAAGGAAATATTTCAGTAGATAAACCTTTAGCCAGATTCATCAAGAAAACAGAGAGGGGATTCAAATAAATAAAATCGGAAATCGAAGAGGACAAATAACAGCTAACACCACAGAAATACAAAAAATTATATGAAAATTTATATGGCAACAAATTGAATAGCATGGAAGAAATGGATAAGTTCCTAGAAACATACAATCTTTCAAAACTGAGCCAGGAAGAAATAGAAAGTTTGAATAGACTAGTTACTAGTAACAAAATTAAATCAGTAATAAAAAAAATTCCCCATAAACAAAAGCACAAGACCAGATGGCTTCACAAGTGAACTTGACCAAACATTTAAAAAAGAGTTAATACCTATTCTTCTTAAACTATTCTGAAAAATAAAACAGGAAAAAAGCCTTCCAAATTAATTTTACAAGGCCAGTATTACCCTGATTCCAAAACCAGACAAGGGCACTACAAAAAAAGAACAGTATCGGCCAATATCCTTAATGAGCAAAAATGTAAAATTCCTTAACAAAATATTAGCTAGCCAAATTCAGCAATACATTAAAAGGACCATTCATTATGATCAAGTGGGATTTATTCTAGGGATGCAAATGTAGTTCAATATTTGCAAATCAAACAATGTGATATATCACATTAACAAGAGGAAGGATGGGGTGCCTGAGTGGCTCAGTTGGTTGAGCGTACTCTTAATTTTGCCTCAGGTCATGATCTCAGGGTCATGAGACTGAGCCCTGCTTTGGCCTCCATGCTGGGTGTGGAGTCTGCTTGAGATTCTCTCTCTCTTTGTCTCTCTTTCTCTCTCTCTCACTCTCCCCCAACCTCTCTAAAAAACAAAACAAAACAAAATAAAACAAAACAAGAGAAAGGATAAAAACCATATGATCATCTCAATAGATTCAGAAAAAAAATTTGACATACCCCAATGCATAACCAAGGCAATCTTGAGAAAGAACAACAAATCTGGAGGTATCATAATCCCAGATTTCAAGATGTACTACAAAGCTATAATAAAGCAGTATGGTACTGGCACAAAAAAGGACACATAGGTCAATGGTTCAGGATAGAGAGCCCAGAAATAAACCCATGCTTATATGGCCAATTAATCTATGACAGCACATGAAAATATGTTCGACATCACTCATCATCAGGGAAATGGAAATCAAAACCACAATGAGATATCACCTCATACCTGTCAGAATGGCTGGTATAAAAAAAGGCAGTAAAAAGTTGGTGAGAAGTGGAAAACAGGGAGCCTTTCTGCACTGTTGATGGGAAGGCAAATTGGTACAGCCACTGTGAAAACCAGTATGGAGTTTCCTCAAAAAATTAAAAATTAGAAATACCATATGATCTAGTAATCCCACTATCCAAAGGAAATGAAAACAGTAATTCAAAAAGATATATGGCACCCCCATGTTTATTGCAGCATTATTCACAATAGCCAAGATACGGAAGCATCTCAAGTGTCCATTGATAGATAAATGGATGAAGAAGATATGATACACACACACATACACACATACACACTGGGCTAATACTTTATCATAAAAAAGGATGAGATTGTGCCATTTGGGACAACATGGGTGGACCTAGAAGGTATGCTAAGTGAAATAAATCAAAGATAAATACCATATGATTTCACTTACATGTGGAATATAAAACACAAAACAAACAGACTCTTAAATACAGAGAACTGAGGGCTGCCAGAGGGTAGGTGGGTGAGGAGATGAGTAAAACAGATGAAGGAGATTAAGAAATACAAACTCCCCATTATAAAAAATAAGACATGGAGATAAAAAGTACAGCATAGGGAATATAGTCAATAATATTGTAATAATGCTGCATAGTAACTAGACTTACTGCATGGAGCATTGAGTAAAGTATAATTGACAAACCACTGTGCCGTACACCTGAAACTAATGTAACCTTGTATTTCAGCTATACTTCAATAAGAATTTTTTTAAAAACAGAAAAAAATTCAGGCAGACTAGGGAAAAGGATTTTGCAGAGTAGCTCAAGCAAGAATTGCTGATAATTTAGACTGGGTCAAGGCTGTGGGGATAAAAAAAAAAATGAAGAGATTTGAGAAATACAAGAAAGAATTTACCAAACTTGTTGTCTGGCAGCATATTGTAGATGCAAGGGAGTTGTCCAAGATGAATCTCAGGGTCTGGCTTGGACATCTATTCAGTGTATGCTAATGCTGTCCACCGAGTTAGGGGAATGAGGAGGAGCCAAGTTTGCAGCAGGCTCTAGGAAGAGAAAGATGGGTTTAGTTTTAGGTAATCTGGGTTCAGAGTACCTATAGTATATCTGAGTGGATACATTTGGTAGGCAGATGCATATATATGGCCGAATTTCAGAAACGTTTAAATTCTAAGATTAGATACAATTTACAGTCAAACTGGAAACATCATTACTTGTGCTTAATGTTTTGTACTTTAATATTTATTATGGTCCAATTGTTTTACAATTATTTTATATATTTATCTCCTTTATCATCCACCCTTACATCCTTAGCTCCAAATAAAAAAAAGCCAAGGAAGGATTCTGATTGACAAAAGGGAATTATATTCCTAGCCCATTGGGCCAACCACTGCGTTCAGGGAACTGAGCTAAAATTGACTCCAGCTAGATTTATCCACTATAGAGAGGAGCAGTGCAGACTGGGAGAGTTCTGTGACTGGAAAAGCTCAGTTAGAACCCCATGGTACAGAGGGGGAAGGATTCATCCCCCAAAAGAAGAAAAGCTAATCTCTCTTCTGGAAAATGTGGGTACTGAGCAGACAAAACAAGAAAAGCCCTATAATGCCTAACGCAAACTGTTACTTGAATTGGCCACGTTTTGTTTTGTTTTGTTTTGAAGATTCCACTCTATACTATTTGAAATCCTGTTCCCAGGCTGAAATCCCAATTAACTTAACTGAGCTTCATGTACAGGGTGACATTTGGGAAGGTGAGATAGTGGAGAAAGTAAAGGAAATCTCATAATACTTGCACCATTTATTTGCTCACTATGTAACTCTAATATTCTCTGTCAGATTCTGGCAAAGCTCTGTAACATTTTACGGACGGATTCCCTGGCAGAAGTTCTCCAGTGGCTGCTACATGCAAGCTCAAAAGGTGAGATTAAAATAAGCATTTGCAAACACTGAGCTTGGGTTATTGTCGGAAAGTAGGAATGTGCCAATATCTGAAGTTTTCTACCTTAGATTTGCAAAGATACTACTGCACTATTCCCTCCTTGGTGTGTCAGTATCCAGGTCTCTGCAGTCCTCTAGAACTGCCTGCGTGTACCCACTCGATGACCCGAAGTTTGGTATGCCCCAAATTAAACTTCTTCACATGATGGGAAGCACTTGTGTCCAAGCACTGGTTTGTGCTTCTTCTGCAGGTACCACCCCCAGGTGTGGCATATCTTCTGGCCTGTTCTGAACCTGAGCACAGAGCCCATTTCCTTTCTCTGGTACAGACAGCAGAGCACAGCCATCCAAGTTCTGGATTCTAATAGCTCTGCCCGTGTCCCATCAAGACCATCAGCTTCAGTCATCTCCCAGCCTCCTTTGGGGCCTTTGTGTTCTGTTCCATGAAAACATGCCAGTCTCAGGTGGGACAGCCATAAACAGCAGAGAGTAACTGTGCTGAAACCCAGCTGGGCATCAGACTGCAGCAAAGCTTCTGAGGGTTTGTAGTTCTAACAAGCTCCCAGATGATGCTCATAATGCTGGTCTGGGTCTTTGAGAATCTGCACTAGTAAAGGTTAGGAAATACCAGTGTATTACGGATAGACTAACATTTTTAAATAGGGAACATTTTGGAAATAGTACTTTACCCAGGAATTCAAGACTACTTGGCAAGCAATCAAGAAGTATTTGGGGGTGGGGATCTCTGGGTGGCTCAGCAGTTTAGCGTCTGCCTTTGGTCCAGGGTGTGATCCTGAAGTCCCAGGATCCTGCGTCGGGCTCCCTGCGTGGAGCCTGCTTCTCCTTCTGCCTGTGTCTCTGCCTCTCTCTCTCTGTGTCTATTGTGAATAAATAAATAAATATTCTTTAAAAAAAAAGAAGTATTTGGGGGTAAGGAGACTTTAGTTCTTTTTTTTTTCCTTTTTGAGGATGTAGCTTTTATTTTATTTTTATTTATTTATTTATAAAGTTGTGTTTTTTTTAAAGATTTATTTATTTATTTATTTATTTATTTATTTATTTATTTATTTATTTATTCATGATAGACAGAGAGAGAGAGAGAGAGGCACAGACACAGGCAGAGGGAGAAGCAGGCTCCATGCAGGGAGCCTGATGCAGGACCCGATCCCAGGACTCCAGGATCGCGCCCATGGCCAAAGGCAGGCACTAAACCGCTGAGCCACCCAGGGATCCCTGAGGATGTAGCTTTTAGAAATATACACAAATAATAAATGCTTATTGTTGGGGGGGAATCCTAGGTGAACCAGAAAAAAATACAAGAAAAATCAATAATGAAAACATCACAGAAATCATTTCAGTGACAACTTCAGTATATATCTTTACAGATATGCTTCTATTATTAGTCTGTATTTTAATGAGATCATATGGTACTTATTATTTTGTTCAGGTATACTTTCTTTTCTTATTTGGCAGCAGCCTGAAAGGCTGGGTTTTGTTCTCAATATTTAAAAATTATTTCCACTGTCATTCAGGGACAAGTCCCTCAACGAGTTAAGAACATGGGGCACTTTACAGTTACAGGCCAACAGAAATCAGGGTTATGTGAACCAACTTTTCTGCAGAAACTTTGACAAATAAACGCCTACTCAGAAAATAGATTACCAGCCTTTCACACTAAAATGATGGATAAAAGAACTAATCCCATGTTTCTAGCCAACATGATAATGATAACCTTCATGCCCACCCCTCCTTGTTTTAAATCAGAAAAAGAGTGGATCTCAGCTTTGATTCATGCTGAACTGGCTGAAATAAACTTGTTGGCTCAACAAAGAAGCATCTCAGCAGAACTAGCAGCAGAGACTAAGAAGCCACCCAAAGTTAAATCTCCCCCACATTCACCTGCAAAATTGAAAGTGCTGACCAAATCGAGGGAAGGACATCAGCCAACCAGGTAATTAGATGGCCACCTTGAGGGCATATGGTAGGGAAAGACTTTCAAGTTTCTTTTTGTTAGCTTACAAAACACTAAACATGCTGATGTTTTCAGTCTCTTCTTTATTCAGTAAATGACCAGAGTGTGTATTTGTTTTCTTTCATTTTCATAAACGTAATATGAGAATCATTCTAAATCCTATTGTAGCCACCCAGACATCTAAGAAAATGAAGTTTTTTTTTATTTGACCTAAAAATGGAAGCAATAAAGGAAACCAAAATTGTATTATTATTGTATATTTTGTCAAATGCATATCACACAAGTATCACTTTTTTTGTGAGTAGAACAATGCTAGATTAAAATAAATGGCTTCACTTAATTTTCACTAGCATGCTCCTGGAGGCTGCTAGAGGAAAAAAATAACTATTACAGGAATTGGAAATTATTTTAGTAGAAATTTTTCTTAAACCTTATAATTTCAGTGACAGAAGAATATATATATATATATATGTATAATATGGTGAAAAAATGTGATGTTATTTAAGTCAAGAGAGAAAATCTTGTTGCTTTAAAATTAAGAGTTGGGTAAAGCTTAAGTTGAGAGAAAAATGTCTATTCAAAACCCAAGTCACTTTAAAAATCAGTGAGACAGAGATTTTAGATTGCAATTTGTCTCTATCTTAAAGTTTCCATAAAATTGGACACTGGGAAATAGGGTCAGTCTTTCTATGTTAGTGAATAATATATGAGGCACTGTTCAGCTATTTACTCAAAGAAGAATTTTTCATTGGAAAGTACACTTACTACTATCTGCATTGAAAAACAAAGAATTGGGATAGAATATTTAGGATGCATATATACTTAGCTTGTTGATGATAGTGCAGTCTATAGAAAATACTTGTTTGTATCTGTGAATTTCATTTTCTCTTTCTCCAATTATTTAGAGTGTCAAGTCAAGGATCTGAAGGAAATAAGGAAGTACCAAAAGGTTAAGTACAGTTTGTGATCACTACTGAGTTGGTATAGGGAAACCGACAAATATTTAACTTTTTAGGGATACAGACTATGGTTTTAAAGGCAGTAAAATACAATAATGATTTCTAATTATTCTTAAGGGACAGTGTCTGCTGAATTTACCATTGAGATAAGTTTGACATAAACTTAACTTTGTTTTGAAAGGCAAAGTACCTCATCAGAGACAGACACTCTTTAAGAAGTAAGATAGATAGCAGGATAGTAGGAATTGTAGGTCTGGTCATGCCAGTCCAGCAACAGGAGAAGCCCTGCACTGACCTAATAAAAGGACAATGACCTCAGAGTTTGGTTCTTCATAGCTTAACTGTCAAGCTAAATTATTTTAACTAGAAACTAAGTCAACCATAGAAAATATTAAAATGGCCAGCAGCCATAAGCAGACGCTCTTTGAGACAGGTGGAACACAAGAAAGAGGAGCAGTTTTGTGTCCCTACCAGAAGCCCAGCCACATCCTACAGTTTAGACCAAGAAGAATCAAGAACTATAGAATGTCCTACTTTGGTCCAGAATGGATCAACTGAAACATCCCTGTGGGTTTGGCAGCTCGTGCTTTTAAAACAAGTGTAGCAACAATGACAATAGAGCAGCAGTTATGAAGTATGTCCATAAGCCTCAAACAAAAGTCTCTTCTCTTATTTCTACAAGTGTCTCTTATACCAGGAATAATATGGTAATCAGAATTCTTTGAGGCCACTCTGAACTCCAGCAGTTTTTGTTGGTATTAACTAAACCCAAAACAGGCTATATGTGCTAACAGGCAGCAAGAAGTACAGTTTAGAAGTTAGAAAATACTCCCTTACTCTGACACACTAAGGATAGTCTATCATACCTGACTTCTACCAAACTCCTCACCCTAGGACTACAAAATAATGACAGTGATGGTTTCTATTACTCAACTTTATGTCTTACCTGTTGGCTCCTGAAGAAGTTTTGTTTAAGAACCCCCAGTCATACTTCTTCGTCTCCAGTGGTAATATTTGGCTCCTCTCCAAATCCTTATTCCTGCTTGGATCTGACCAAATAGG